CTAATGGAGGGGGGACTCCCCAACCCAAGGTGGAAAGAGAAGGAAAAAGGAGGTAGCGTTTGTTCCTGGCTTTCCTGTCATCATAAACAGATGTAGCATATCAGAAGAAAATCGTGATGAATAAAATCTTGCTTTGCAAACTAATTACTTCTAAGTTAGGGCATCATCAAAATCATCCCTATGACACGATCACTCCCTCATTTGAACTCTGATATGCTTACTGGGTGGGGAAATGCAGCAGGCAGCTATTTGCATGTATCTGTCACCTATGATGCAGCAATAACAAGGGACCAGGGAGGGGGTCCTGTGTGTAAACACCAACCATTGTGCATTCTACTGTGTGGCCAGAACTGAGGCATGCTGGGAGTTTTTTTCATGTATTTGATTATTACAGGGTCTCACTATGCAGCTCAGATTCATAGTGATCCTCCTGTGTTCAGCCTCCCCAGTTCTGGGATTACAGGTGTGCACCACTATGCCCGGACTCTGGCCTGCTCAGACCACCCGGGCAGTGAGGCTGGTGTGGCACCACATGCCCGGGATCAAACTGCAGTCCCTGCACTTGCCTAAGCAGGTGCTTTAGTCTGCTGACCTATCTCACCAGCTCCCAAGCTGGGAATTTTGGTCTCCTGCCTTCCTGGTCTGGGGTCACAGGCTTGGAGTGCTGGGCTCCTCAGGTTCACATGAACAGCATGTCTTCCTCTCACTAGAAAGCCTTCCCCTCCTGTACAACTCCGGTTCACTAAATCCATTTCTGGAAATATTCCGAGATTCTTTCCTCTAGCCACTTAGCTTACCATGGGCTCTCCTTCTTCAGCTCTGTGGAAAGGGGCTTTCGACGGAGCTACTTTCTTAGCACTTGCACTCTCCTCCTCAGCTAGTCATTGAGTTTCTAGTTCAAATCATAGTTTCATCAGCTAAGAGTACATTAGACGTTGCAGCTGGGTGCTGGGGCTGCCGTCACTGTCATGGCTATGGCAGGAAATCAGCTTAAATCCCCACGCTTGAGCTTCCTGCGACGGAACCTGAACCAGTCTCATGTGGACACCCTGGTTTCTATTCAGCTTCCCTGCTAGGTTGAGAGCCTTACCTTTCCCATCCTCCAGGCCCTCAGCCTGGACCTCCCCTAAGGGCCCTGGGACCCTTCCTGCAGTAGTGCAGAAGCCCTTGGTAGCCCTGCGCTGTTTCCATGGTAACGCTGGCAGCTACCTGCTCCTACTGAACTTAAACTTCTGGTGCCTGTTGACTCCAGAGGTGGGGCTTCTGGCCCTCCCCCTGACTCCTGATTCTGGCAAGCCTGGACATGGAGGCTTCTGGAGCGATGGTGCAGGGCACAGTCTGTGGAACCTGTTGCCAGTCTGAGTGTTTGGACACTGAATGGTGATGTTTTAAGCAAAGGACCCCGCCTTCTGTAAGGCTGCTTGGGGTCTATAAAACATACAGGAAGTGCTTATTAAATGACTGTTGGTTAATTACAATTTCTCCTCATCCTGCTTTGGGATTTATTCCTGTAGCCATTCTCCTTCCATTCATCCACTCAGCTATATGGCATATGCAAGAATGAGTTCATCTCTCCCACCCTGGTCTCGTAGACCCTTACCCGGTGTAAGGATGTAAATATCCACCAGAGGAGTTTCACAGCTTCTTCTGGGTCTTGGAAGTAAATGCTCCTCCTCCTGTGTCTGGCAGTCGTGTGAGTGGGCATTGGTTAAAAGTGCTACAGATACTGTGAGTCACTGACTTTCCAATGGGCAGGTTGGGTTCACAGATTACTGGACAGATGGGACAGTATTTTGGCTTTTCCCTCGAGAATGGATATTTGTGCTTGTAAGCTATGTGGCTCCACCAAGGTGTTTTGGATTCTTCAAAGGCTAAAGAATATTGACAACTCCTGGGGCCGGGGAGATGGCTCAGTGGAATAAGCACTTCCTTGCTGCAGTTGTAGTAGCTTTGCCCTGGCAGGGGTGGAGCAGCCAGTGCAGTGAGGGCTCTGCTTAGCAGAGAACTGCACTTACTCAGACAGTGCACGGAGAGGGTGGCTGAGTATAGGAAGGCTCACTCAGGTGATGCGCATCTGTGTTGGGTTCTAGAGATAGCAGAAGACCTGCCATGTGCTCCGTGGCCTCAGGAGCTCACACCCATAGTAACCCAGGCTCGAAAAGCACAGTCAGATGCCAATGTATGCCTTTGGAGGGGGAGGAGGGCTTTGAATGTTTATTTCAGTGTGGCTTGGAGAGAGTGTGTGGTGTCTAGGGGCCACTTGGGCTGGGGGCTGCCACCGTGTACAAGGGGAGAGACAGAGGGGTCAAGCAGTCTCTTACATCTGTTGTATTAGTGGAAATGCAGATTTAGTTGGCTAAGGGCACCTGAAGTGCCTTTAAGCTGCTTGTTCTGTAAACTGCACAAAGGGTATTGTAGTTAGTTAGTGGTTCTCAAAGTCCTGACCCTTGGGAACTCCTTGGAAATGCAGATTCTAGGGCGCTCAGTTGCTGGGTGGGGCCCACAGCTCATGCTTCAGAAGCCCCAAGGGGAGTCTGACACATGCAGGTCAGAGTTGGAGACCCACTGTGTAGCAGATAGAGCACTAGACTTTGAGGGGCCGTCTGGCACAGGAGATGCAAGGCAGAAAGCTTGCCCTGTGTGACTTCCAGAGGCAAGAGCACATAGGAGTACAGCCCACAGGGGTGAGAGACCACAGGGGTACAGCCCACAGGGGTACAGCCCACAGGGTGTAGCCCACAGAGGTATAGCCCATGGGTACAGCCCACAGGGGTGAGAGCCTACAGGGGTTACAGCCCAGAGGTGACAGCCCATAGGGGTGACAGCCCACAGGGGTGATAGCCTACAGGGGTGAGAGCCCATAGGTGTGACAAGCTCACTGGAGTGACAGCCCACAGTGGTACAGCCTACAGGGTTGACAGCCACAGGGTTCCAGCATTGGGGCCTTTCTTTGACCCCTCCTTGGAAGGACCCAGGCAGTAGCTGGGAGGGGTCCGTATCATACTCCCTCCTGTAGATGAGGACTCCGGGCTTGGAAGGGTTAAATGTCTGGCTGTAGATCCCAGAGGAGGTACTGCAGCCAAGTCTCACCCAGTTGGGTGACTCCAGGCCACTGCCACTGCCACTGCTATTGCCACTGCCACAGCCATGGTAGGGCCATGGGCCAGAGCCTTCACTGGTCCAGGTGTGGAAAGGGCCTGCAGCTGGATGCTCTGTCCCTGAGGACCAGTGCTGAGACTAGTGGTGAGAGGCTTTTGCCCTCTTTTCTGTCCTCAAAAGGACGAGTGCCATTCCCCGCAGGGAGCTGGTTTCATACCGGAGCTTTTCTAAATGACTGGCTGATGAGCTGTTGGCCTGGACTCCTAGGGCTGCAAGGTTAAATGCGAGCTTAAGTGAGAAAGCAGGGTGAAATGACCTGTGTGCTATGGTTATAATGACCTCAGATTAAAAAAGAAAACCAAACAAACAAAAGTTAAGAGCAGAAAGGGGAGAAACTCCCTGTGTTAAAATTTTTCTTTCTTTTCCCCAAGCTGTTTTGGGGCCACGAGACATAGGCATTCACCCTGTGGAAAGTAGTGGCTCCATGGCTGTGGTGGGGCCTGGGCCTCCCTTCAGGAAGGTCAAGTGTTCTCGTCCCTCAGGATTGGTACTGGTACTGCAGCCCTGGCTGTTTGCAATTCAACTGGACTGTGGGCAGGTCTCCACAACCCAGAGGTGTTTCTCCCTGCCGCTGTCACCCAGAGGGCTTCCAAGGCCTGATGCATAGGGTTGAGGGTTCGTCCCAGACACCCCATAGCAATCCCGATCTCCCAACAAAGGCTGTCAGACACCTTTAAACACAAAATATCCTTTTATTTGTCAACGAAGGCTACACAGGATCACTTCTGGTTTTGTTTTTATGCTTTTTCCTAGAAGGTATCTACATCTGCATTTATTTACAGCCTTGTTGGTATTTACAAGTCAAGAATACAGTGTTAGAAACACAAAAGTGTTGAGAAAAAAAACTTCTCAAAATTAGTTCCAGACTTCAGGAAAACTATTTGCACATGGTAAGGCCAGAGTCTCCAGTGCTGGTCACCCAGAGGCGGCATGGCACAGTCCTTTGCCGGCGCCGCAGGTTCAGAAGTCCTCAGAACAACAGGCAGACTCGGAAAAAGGAGGTTCTGGTGGCGGGCGAGTCCAGGCTGCCGGGCACCGCCAGCGTCCACCACCAGCTCCCACCAGGAGCCCGGGCCTGCGAGGGCCAGTCCTCCCTTGGCAGTTTGCCCTCAGAAGAAATCACGTTTCCGTGGGGACCAGAGGTCACCCAGGTTCATGCCTTTGGCATCTCGGAGGGGACAGAAGACACGACGCAGGGCCGCACCTGGGGCTCCGGCTCTGATCTTTCACATCCCTAATGAAACCTCAGAGCGCACCCCAAATGGGCAGTCCAGGTCCCAAGCTGGTTTTGGAGAATGTAAAGGTTGGAGAGGATAAAGTTTCGGTCACCTGAGCAATGAGTCTTTAAAATGAGTTTGCTGTTTAGGAAGGTAAAATAAAAGGGCCAGGGAAGCGCAGGGCCCTAGTGGGAGCAGTGTGCTTTAATGGAAGGCTTTGTCCTGCGAGGGGAAGGAGAAACGGGCCTCCTTCTGGAGCGGTTGGGAGCAGAGGCCCCTGGCCAGCATTGGAGCCGCCTCTGCGGCTGGTGGCTGCTGGAAGAATAAAAAGCAGACTGGACTTTAGCGTCAGGCAGTTGAAGCCCTGAGCCCGGCCCTGCTGCGGGCCAGTCAGCTCTATCCTGCGGGGCACCATACTCTGTGTCCCCACTGTCAGCCCAGGGCCACAGCAGACACAGAGCTGCAAATGGTCAAACTAAGTTCTAAGATTTCACACTGAAAGCCTCATCTTTGCAGAGCACAGTGACTGCTGTCTCTAAAGGCAGGGCTGAGAAGCTGCAGCTGAAGCGCTCCTTTCTTATTTTTAGCACTCGGACCGCCTACATGGCACCACCCTGTTCACTTGCCCTCCTTTCCTCCACCCACCCACCCAACCTGGCTGCCTGGAAGCACATCTGGCCACCTTTGGCCTCCACCCTAAGCAGAAGTTGGGCCCTGCGTGGACCCTGGCTGGCTTCTCAGCCAGCAGTTGTGAAGCCAGCATCAGAGACTGTCACTTCCATGGAGTCCCCGGTCCCTCCCATCGTTATCATCCTGTCTTCTAACAATGTCTGTCCAGAGGTTGGGTAAAAGGAAATCTTATCATGTGAAAGACAACATTGGGACCTGGTGCTTGCAGGCTCTCAGAGTAGACAGGGCTAGAGCAGCCTCAAAAAGAAAATGAAGCCAGGGCATCAACAAGGTCATATTAAGGGTGAGGCAGAGTGGCCGACGGGCAGCGGTGGTGGGGAGCAGAGAAGGCAGGAGCTTTGCTAAAATAAGTCTTCGCGGGTCTGAAGCCAACTTTTTGCAAAAGCAGCCACCTGGGGTCTGGCCACTGCGCCGACTGGCAAGGCTGCTGACTGATTAGTGCCAGAGGGCAGGAGCCATCGAGGATGGGAGCACACACTAAGAAGACACAGAGAACTCTGGCCTGCGCCTTTGGTCTCACCATGCTGTAAGATGGGCACTGCTGGTCTCTGCAGGGGACAGATGAGAGGGCATGTCCTGGGTCACTTGCCAGCCTGAATGGGAAACAGCTTCAGAGGGCCAAGGCCATGGCCTCTGCTCCACAGGACAGCACAGTGTGGAAGGATGGCACAGGGTGCTTACGGCCCGCCCCACGGTTCCTTGATAAAGCTTGGGGCTGCAGAAGCTGGGCACGCAGCCCAGGAAAAATTGATGTGGGACCATTCCTTTAAATAAAGGAACACCTAATAATGCTGTGCTTTTGATCCTTAAATTAGTCCACTGTATTCTTTTGGGGAGCTGTGGGAGGAGGGACAGAGAGTGGCAGGTATAGGGAGATGGGTCCTTGACCCCATGGCATCTCTGACTTCCAAGTAGATGTCCCCAGCTGACATAGACAGCCAAACCAGGACTGACCAAGTAGGACAACAGGGGGGAGAGTTTGCCCAAGGACCTTCGCAGCAAGAGTGCTATTTCGAGGGGCATACATTTCTTTTGGATTAAAAAACAAACAAACAAACCAACCTAACTTGTGTTCTTCAGGCCAAACTATTTTCCGTTCCGTCCAAGAAAGCAGCACATGACACGTGCAGTGGGCCCAAGGAGCAGTGTGTCTGACTCAGCAGAGGTCTGGAACCAGAAGCCATGGGTGCAAGAGGACAGACAGGCCACAGCATACCAGCCACAGGTGACCAGATGACAAACAGGCCACTGCACACCAGCCATAGGAGCCAGAGGACAAACAGGCCACAGCACACCAGCCACAGGAGCCAGAGGACAAACAGGCCACAGCACACTGGCGAGGCAGCATGACTTTTTTTGGAAACAGGAAGAGCACTTAGCAAAACACATCCTCTAATGATGCGGTAAGGCAAGATCTCCCCTCCCCAGGGCTCTGGATATGTCCCTCTGCCAGGCAGACCTGACTACACGTTGCTCGGATTCTCATGCAGTAAGAGACCTTCTTGGTTTTGTTAGCTTGTGTCACATTCTGAAGACTCCGTGAGTAAGGCTACAAAGGTGTCGTGAGCTTAGCAGTCCAACAAGGTTTCCACGGGGAACAGCTCAGACTCAAAATTCATTTTCCACACTTAATGTAAATGGAGCCCATGAAGTCCCACTTTCCCAGGAGCCTAGCTCCAGTGGCTGCCCCTCCTGTCTCCCAGAGCCTCCTGTGAGTGGCAGTAACAATGATAATTAGGCGGATGGACCAGGGACAAGAACCTCCAACAAGGAGCTCCCAGCTAGCGCTGCTGCCCCTCTGCCCTCCTTGCTTCCCCGTCTCCTGGCTGCCCCCCCCATCCCTCCTCTAAGGGTCCCCAGCCTCTTCTTGATGGGGCACACACAGGTCTTCCTAGGAGCAATGCTGGCCTGGCCTTCCTGGTCCACAGGTATGGGCCACAGGCCTGGCCCCAGTGGCGGTGGAGTTGAAAGGCCACAGAAAAGTAGCTCCTTGTTCTTTCTCAAAACAAAACGAAACAAAACCCTGATTGGGCTTCTCTAGAGGGGAGCTGTTTTCTAGAGGAGGTTCACAGAAGGGGTTTCCTGAAGGCCCAGGCTACTGTACCCAGGTCTGGGACTTGCCTGTATGAGGAGGCACAGGCAGCTTCAGGAGCTGGTTAGAAAGGTGCTTGGCTTGGGCCTTTGCTGATGCCGCTGTTTGGCTTTCTTACTTCGTATCTTCCCAGGATCAAAGGCCACCAAGTACCTCTCACTATCCTGTTTCCTAGTGGTGGCAGCTAAGCAGTGGAGGGAAGGGACCCGAAGTCACAGGGAGGGGTGTCCTTCCCTTCCCTGGACTGGATGCCCGCACGGAGGGCTTGCTGTGCACTGCTGGTTCTCACATCTGGCTTTGGGAGAGAGGAGGAGGTGAGTAAGGGACATTAGGGAGGATCAACCAATCACAGACATCCTGGGTGCTTTTCCCCTCGTGGCGAGGGTGGGGCTCATAGCTCCAGGATGTTGTGTCCCCAGACTGGGGAAAGGATGAGGGGACAATTCCTCTATCCCAGAATGGGGGTGGCACCGACAACTACACACGATTTGCAAAAGGGAGGAGGGGTTTCATTTAGCATCAAAATATAAAGCACGGACAGGAGTTTGGGGCAGTCTGAAAAGGTGCTGTGTGACATCACAAACATTTCCAGAGCAAGATGAGCCATCTGTGGTCCTCCGGAGATGGGGCGCAGCGAGCAGCTCCTGGGCTGGTCTGTGGGGGCCGGGCACGCTCCTGGGGTCCTCCAGGACTGCCACACTCAGCCCCTCACTCCTGCTTGCCCCAGCCAAAGGAGAAAGGGCGGCACACGAGATGAGGCGGCACAGACACGTGTGTCTTGCCTCACACTGGGGACCTAGTGACAGATGAAGACACATCCCAGGGAACTGTGTCCCAAGGAGAAAAGTACCCCAAACAACAAGGAAAACTCCATAAGGAAGAAGGGAACAAAAGACAATAAAGTTTTCATTGTGATCACACTACAGAAAAAAAAAATACCTTCTGCTCTTTGCAAAAAATGTGTGAAGGCCAAATCTGTATTTTTCTTTTCTTAAAAAAAAGGATGTTGCATGAATTAACAATGCAACCAGTATCTTTTTGTTTGCTGTACTTATTAAAAAAGGTTTTTTTGTTTTTGTTTTTTAAGTACAACACGGTCAGGTATGCGGCCACAAAAGAGCAGCTGTCTTTGGCAAGAAGTTCAGGCCTCAGCCTGCTCTGTCACCTGCGGCCCATCTCGCTCTGTCTCATGAAGTGGATGTTGTTGGCGCTGTCTGACAGTTCTGGGTACTGCTCGACGGAGATCACGAAGAAGCCGTCGTAGCCTTGCACCCGCCCCGTGCTCAGCACCTGCTGCTTCTCGCCCTCTGTCCAGGCCCGCAGCCCCTCCTCCCCTTCCTGCAGTCTCTGCTGCTCCCGCACCCATGCCTGGCGCACGGCTCTCTGCCGGGCCAACTCCAGCACCCGGGCCTTCTCCTCATCCAGGGTCGTCCCATAGCGGGTGTTCAAGCACAGCGCCCTGTACTGGAGCTGGATGTCTGTGTAGCGTCGAGTCCTGCCATTGAGCATGGTGTTGATCTGTGACACTGTCACATTGACCCCATTCTCCAGGGTTCGCTGACCCCCGCTGAGGCCCAGTATGGCCAGGTCACCCTCTGAAGGCCCTGGCTTCACAAAATAGTGGGTGTCTACCCCATTGATGGTGAAATGCAGGTTCTCCAAGTAGTGGGCATTGTTCAGGATGGCAGCAATCCTCCGCCCATCCTCGTTGGCCATGCTGATGATGTCTGTGGTCACTCGGCCATCCTTCAAGGCAAACTTGACCCCTTTGCCAAAGACTGAGCCACTGGATGCAAACCTCCTTGTCTCTGGGGCCTGCTGGCAGCTGGTGACTGTGGAGCCATAGAGCTGGTCGAAGCGTTCTAAGGTGACAAAGGCCTTGAGCTGTTTCTGCACTTCACATTGTACTCCAAGGATAGACTGATGGAAGAGGACAGAAAGAGGAGGGGGAGAAAACAAATATTAAGGACACACTTAACCAATTCAAATCTGTTCATATTGTTAACCTGTAGCATTAATCTGTATTGCTCATCATCAGCACATCCAGCTGTCCCCACTATGTACCCATCCACCCGTCCATCCATCCATCCATCCACCCACCCACCCACCCACCCACCCATCTACCCATCTATCC